TATGACAACGCTATGAGGTCAATGCTCAGGTTCATTTCACGGGTTGGGGAAACTCAAACACGGAGAGCTTGCCCGAGATCATCTCAGTCATTTGGGAAAGGAACTAGGATTTGAATTCAGTGGTGCTACCTGATACTCTGCTGCGGTTGGTGGTGTAATATTATATACGTTCACTGTATTACCCTTTAAAATGCTATAGATTTTGACTCCAAATCATCTCTGGCCCTGTGAGCTTCAGATAAGAGACTGTGGGCTGGTGGCTGCACATGAATAACTTGGTTTCCTGGTTTCACTGATTGGACCTGCGGTTTGGTTCACACGCCTAAGGCTCTGCAAGGAAGGTCCCCGTTTATTGGGCCGACAGGTCCTGTGCCTGAAAGGTTGGTGGTCTAGTGACCGAGGCCGTGACTGACACTTGGGGAGGTCTGTGAAAACCAGCCAGTCCGTGTGTCGTCTCTAGATGGCTGGATGGGCCACGAGCACCCGTGAGAACAAAGTGAGTCCTCCCATCGTATTTCCTCCAAGATCTCAGTGGGTCTCCTCCCGCAGGCCCTCATGTTAGAGCGATGAGCAGCGAGGGCCACGTTTACCAGGGGACACAGGAGAGTCAACGGGAGGGCAACGTACCCACATGGACGTGACAGGATTCTTTAGGCCCGCTTATTCAGTCACCAAGTAACTAATTCGGTAAACACTTATAAAGGCGAAGAATAATATATAGTCCCATTCTTTTCNTTTAGGATAGCCACAAAGGTCTCATGAACGTGAGATGCCGGTTACACAGATATGAAATGGATCTGAGATGAGGAGTCTGGGTGCATGAGAGAACAAGTCCCGAAGGCGTGTCGCCCGGGACCTCGGCTTTCCTTCCAGAACATCAGCAAACAGCTCAAAATGAACGCGGCTCACGTGCGAGTTGCCGTCGAGCTACACTAGCCTGCTCACTCCCCCCTCGTCACCCGAAACCCAGTTAGTTAAAGGGCAGTCCAAACGAGACTTTTATTTGAGGGATTTAGAAGCATTAAAGCGAAGGGGAAAACACCGCCCGGGCAGCTCTCCGGGGAGCACGAACACGGCTGCTAATCGCCCTTGGGTGGGGAGATGATTAACCTTGGTATTGGCCTCACGGTCCAGGTTTCCGCCGTCGATCGGTGCCAAGCAGAAGTATTTGGATGGTGTACGGAGAAGACCTTTACAAGGTCTCCAACTGGCACCTAATGTCTTCAAGTATGGAAACGTGGCTGGGCCTTCCCAAGGGGCTGATGGGTCCCTGCGGGTACCACGTCCCTTGAGTAATGGTCCCGCCAATTAAATCAAGTGAGAGGTGAATTTCTAACTCTGCGATGAAGGCGATGCTTATTGTAAGAGGAAACAGGAAACAGAACATTTCCCCTACGTGAACTATCGTTTCAAATGGCGTAAGTTGGGGAGGTGGGGGGAGGGGACGGCCAGACACCTCCACCCATAGTCTAGGCTTTCCATGCCATGATGTCCGTCATCTGAAAGTAATTTAGGGAAATAATGTACACTCGGGTTCACAGGGTGTTGTATCTCTCTTCTTCTGTTGCTTGTTAAAGGAATATTTTGATTTATTAAAGAATTCCAAGTTTTTTTTGAAATGGTGTTTTCGGATGTGATCTTTCACTTCCGTGGATGGTCTACCTTTAACCTCGGGCTCCTCTCATCCCCCCTTTCTAAGTGATAATCACCCTCGTAAACCTCTCTGCACATGAGGCCAATTCTTGCTGTTCTAATTATGTCCTTTCTATTATACTGTTCAACAAAATTGGCGAAATCGCTTGCTTTTCGGGATGAAGGGTCAAATACTATATGTCAGGAGGTAATAATTAGTTTATCACTTTAGCAAAAATGCCCACACCAAACTGACTATTAATTTGGATCATCAGCATCAACAAATGTCCTCCTGGATAAAATTGCGAATGTTTACTTATAAACGCATGATAACTTTTATAAAACCAAAACCAAAAGAGAAACCTGAGTGAATTGCTCCCCCATGAGGTAACCAGAGGTCACGAGGCTGATCTATTTGGGGGTTCATTAATTGCTGACGGTATCACCAGTGTTTTTTCAGCCGTGGCTAAAGCACGTCAAAATGACCGAGTTTTAGATGGAGTGCCTTTGGGACGACTGGAAAACCTACTTCCTAAGAGAGACAACAGCAGGTACAAACGACCTTCATGGGAAATTTGTTCCAAAAACTTTGATCAGATGATCGGAAAGGATGACCACTCTGTCCATGCGTCGGAACCTGACTCAGTGCTGGTGTTGACAGTTCGAGATCTATACTGAAGCCTATCAAGGGCCTCAAAATCTTTAGCCATTGCATGTATGTGAACTTATGGTTACATACATCAATCGTTCACGTCGAGACTAGACATCGTTCATTTTCCTTGAGATGTGCCTTGATGAGGGGGTCTCCGGAGTGATTCATCTGTTGTAATGGCATCTTTCTAGATACTTGGTGGAATTACGCTCATTGATTCTTTCCTTCTGTGGGATAAAGGGAACAGCCCTGGCCAAGGTTTGTACCTTGGAAGCCCCCTTCCTGTGCCCTCTAGAACAGGCCGTGAACCATCTATGCCTGAGTTCTTGCCCTTTGGAGAGGAGAGTTCATCCCCAGAGAACCTCAGGAGCCCACAAAGGAGGAACATGCGAATGCCATTAAAGCAGCTTAGAGATACAATCGTCTTTGATGGTTTTATCACAGATCTCTTGACCTGAAAGCCAGGCAACAGGCAAACTAGTTCTGTGTGATGTTGGGTGACCCTAGGAGGCTCTTACATCCTGTTTGCTGGAGAAATCTAAGGAAACACCCATTGCACCCCGAGCAGAACAGACAGAGGCGTAACGGAGGCAGGGTAAACGACACCACCTTATCTGTTAGAGGGCTTTGGTTAGGCACGGAGGAGCTAAATTCTCCTAGGTTCCTGATAATAAGGGTGAATACGTTTTCCAAAGGCACAATGCAGCATCCTTTCGGGTCACCAATGATTTCGAAATCAAGAAAAGCACAACAGAACTGGAATTTCCCGATTCGGTGTGTAAAAGGTCAGCATCTGCTGATGCTCAGAGATGGGGCATGAGGTGGAGGCGGCCGGATGAGATGTCGAGTGAGCTGAACATCAGAGATCCATGCAGCACGCGACCGACACGCCCAACACAGAGACACACCCGGGCCCCAGGGAGCTACTTTCCGTCCGTCCATTTCTGAAACCCTGGCCGATCGACACAGCGGCCTCGGCAATCTGCCTCAGCTTGTTTCCCTTGGGTTCCCTGTTGCTCCGAAATGCTCGTGCAAATGCCACTGTCAAGGCCTGAAAGGAGCGAGTTGTGGGGCGTGTCTGCGGTTAGCCCCATGGCAGGGGAGACACCGGGGCAGAAAAATCAGACTCTGAGAACCGAAAGCTTTCGCCTGCCAGCGTGTGGCACCGAGGCCCTCTCGGCCAGAGCTCCCGGGAGATGCTGTCTCGTGGGGCTGGTCTCCACGTGGTGAGACCACGACTTCAATTTACAAAGGCCCCGATTCTCACGGCATCCAACAGGTCTGGTGCTTAAGAATTCCCGAGCCGAAGTCGACTGGGTTGATTTAGAAGTTGGAGCACCTGACTTGCATTTACAAGAATCAGGAAGTTGTTTGATCTCGTTCAGGGGCGGGGAACCTTTTTTTCTGCCAAGGGCCATCTGGATATTTATAACATCATTCGAGGGCCATACAAAATGATCAGCTTAAAAATTAGCTCTGAAATAAGCGCCTGCGGCTGCCTTGGCAGGGCTGGGCCGAATGATTTAGCTGGCTGTATAGGGCCTGCGGGCCGGACGTTCCCCACCCCTGATCTAGCTGATCAGAGTACGGCTTTCTAGCTGGAAATTGGGGGGATGGTCGAGCTTCAGCTGCCACCCTGCAGTCACCTGTGTGGCACAGCCCCGAGGACAGGTGAGGGGCGAGGCCCCAGTGAAAATTCTCCCCTTCACTCCCGGTGCAAACCTCGGCTTCCTCGGGCTTCCTTTCCCATCAGCTACTCAGCAGCCGCACACAGGCCGCGGCCGTCAGAAAGGGCGCAGTGTGCAAAACGAGGGGAGCTTCTGCTCTGAAAAGTTCTGGGGCACTTCCTTAATGAGCTTTTCAGGCTAATGTTGGGGCGTCATTGTTTTATACGCAAAGAGGAAGCTCCAATCCAATTCTCTCAATATCGGAAAAATGCTCTTTGCAAAGGTCTTGGACTAGTGTCCACAGAGGGTCCAAGAGGCATTTCCCTTTCCATTGCTTCTATCTCTACAAAAAGATTTCTCGCAGAAATTTCTAGCAGCCCGACTCTTCAACTCTGTATTTTTTAACCCCCCTTCTCTAGCAAACTTAAACCTAGGTAATCAGAAAAGCCTGGGTCGCTGTATTTAAGGAGGGAGAAGCTGACAGACCGATTAGGTTCTTCCTTCATTCCTCCAGAAAGACTAATAAGGACCCCAAACCTGCTTCTTTCAGGCCTTCACAAAGACTGGAGTTGATGCATTAATGAGACTCCCTCCCCCTGGCTTCGTGGTACTTTCCTTGGATTCTAATGAATGCGCCTGCAGCATTCGCTGGCGTCTGTTCTCTGCTTTTCTAAATTACGGTGGAAATCCATACCTCGTTCTAGGGAGAGCGTTCAATTTGCTTGTTGGATACTAAATAGGGCTGTTTATAGGTTTGCTAAATGCGCTCAGGTGACCTTAGTTAATTGCACCTTCATGAGGGGGGAGCCTTCACGGATCAAAAGCAGTCCGGACAGCTGGGGCTCCGCCGGGCCACAGAGAGGTTCTGCACAGATAATGGTTTTATCTGTGATCTCATCCTATCTGTGCCGAGCGCAAACAGAGCAATTCAACCCGCCAAGAACATACTCATATCAGAAATGGATACGGGGGAAAATAGGTCCGAGGAGCTGAACAACAAAGCACAGCGGGCCTAGCCTGGGTTGGGTGATTGTTTTTTTTTTACTTACTACCAATACTGGAAATACTGGGAATACCTAGAGAAAAAGAGAAAAAAAAGAAAGAAAAGCTGTTAGACATTTATTAGTACATGACGTCTTGAACACAATATAAAAATCCTAGGAACTTAACACTGGGTAACATTCAGATCATCAGAAAAGCAGCACAGAGAAAACAGCGAATATATCCATGCACTGAAACCACTTTGCTTCCTTGTATAAGTCACCAGAGTTAGGGAATTAATGCTCGGAAGACAGCTTCGTATCAAACGTTTCGTGTTTGCCTACACGGTTAATGAACATTTGCATGTGGTTCAGGACAGATGTTAAACTAGGCTTCTGTTCTGGGCACGGAGGACCAGACACCGCGTGGACCTCTGCGCGTGGGTCCACAGGACGCAGCAGACCTCTGCTGCGTGTTAGCTGGCGGGAGGCATTTGGCCCCGCGATTGGATTAATTTCACATGACCCTCATTTTCCATTCCCCTTTTACTTGTCAGATACGTGGGTTAAACTCTGTGATAGAAACTTAATTGGGCAGAATAATTTAAGAATACGTTAGGTGGCTCATATTGATCATGGGCTCCATCGATTTTCCAGTTTCCACTTAATTTCCAAGTTGCGCCGAGGTGGTGGGGCCGTTTCAGAATGCGCCGGACTCGGGGTAACCGTGGGCCTGTCGGGGGTGAGAGATCTGCCCTTGCGCTCGCTGCCTGTGTGACCTTGGACAAGCTGCGAAGGCCCTAGGTGGCTCCGTGTCCCGCCTCGTCCTGTCGTTGCAAAGATCACAGAACCTGACATATGTAAGCCGCTCAAAACACGGCGTGCAGGTAACACGCGCAATGTCCACCTTGGCTACGATGGCTCTTCCTGATGTCACTGGTGCATCAAGCAAATGACCCCATGACCGATATTGCTAATCAACAGGGATTTGTACCTGCCCAGTAAATCTGGGTTGAGAGCAGGAGATGGAAGTCAGGCTGAGCCAGTCCTGCTTCGCCACCAACTCTCTGGGCGACTTCGGACAAGTTCCGCGCCTCTCTGCACCCATCTCCCCCTCTGAAGAGGGGCTAATAATATCTACCACCAAGGGCTGCGGGGAGGATCGAGTGAGATAATCCATAAAAATGTCTGACTCGTGGTCCGTAGTCAATAAACGATAGCTGTTAATGAGCTGCTCAGACGTGCTCGTTGCATCATGAAGTGTGCAAACAGGTGGTAAGTGCAGGAATCATTAAACTGCTATTTTTGTATTTATTTTCGAACGGCTGCCCTGTGCTTATTTTAACTGATCACTGTATCTCACCCAGAGATTCCTGGCTTTGTTTTCCTTAAAACCAAGAGCCGTTTTCCTATTTCCTAAGAGGGAGGGGAGGAGAAACGAAAGCTTACCATGATTTTTTTTTTTTTTATTAAAAAAAACACCTTGAAAGGAATGAAAGCCTATGTTTGGTTATTAGATACATTCAAACTCTCTCAATTTTAGATGCACAGGGTTTATGGGGCATTGGCTCAATCACTGATCACTGATCAAGCCAAACGGGGAACCTAAATTTCCTTTTCTGCAGTTCAACTCCGTCCTGTGAGCCAAGGTTCAAGCTGAACGCAGTGTCCAAAAGGACCTCTGATCCCGACCCCGCTGCAGTCAGGCTGCTTTGCCGCAGCGCGACTGTGGCTTGGTACTGAATCCTGTTTTATTTTTTGCCTTTGCAAATCCCCTGTTGAGTGAGGAACGGTGGCAGCATCGTCATTTTAGTATCAATGGCAGGAGGCTCCAAATTTCCCCGTGACTGAAAATCCCGCTCCACCGCGAGAAACCTCTTGCCTCTTGTAATCCGTCAAAGAGAATGGAAGGGAGGGTGGCAGGGAGAGGCTGTTCATGGGTTTGCAAACCCACAGGGGGCCGTGCAAAATGCAAAGCGAAGTTCTCAGTCTCAGGGTGCTCAGACCGCCCCCCCCAACCATGGGGAGCCAACTCCCAAGGCTGATGAAGTCCTTGCTGCAGTAAAACACGTCAGAAACAGGCGGAGATGTTCCCGTTCCTTTGGGGAGGCCGGTGTAGGGGAGCAGGGCTCGCCGCGGCTCCGCAAACCTCCATAAGCAGGGCCATTATGAAATCCTATTTTCCTGTGAAGCCGTTTCCCATCACCTACCATTTGGGTGCTTAAAATTCAGGCTCTTCCTCATTTCTGTGGCCGGCAATTTTTTGAGATGCCACGAGGCGATCCACTTTGCACTCCATTGCTGTCGAATGGGAATTGTTTCGAGCGGATTTTTTCCACTGCTCGTCGGGACAGAGATTTTTGAAGCCGAGAACAGCTGAGGGCCCAGGGATGGCCGCTTTGGGATAGTTTCAAACGTTACTCCTCTCCCCCCTAATGTTTCTTATTCAATGTCCAAAACACCTGGCTTTGGGTTCTCTACGGACAAGTAAAGAATTTAATAAACCCATTAGGTGCATTAAAAAAGCTATGAGTAAGTCACGAGGAATCTTTCCAGTGTTTGAGGCAATAAGACAGGGAGGCCACAGTTCATTTCCTAAAAGTGGGCTTCTTTGGGGTCTCAGAGGGGTGAATCAGTGAATGAAATTCCATCTTACAACAGTTACAGGGCCCTCAATTAATGGTAATAAGAGTCAGAAAAATTGTGTTGGCAGGTTTTATTTTATTTTTTTCACATCTCCTGTGAATTGACAACTATTATATGAAGAATATCTTTACCCGGACAACTGAACCCAGAGGTCTTCCCTTCCTCTTTACCTCCCTGCTGTGAGGGAGTCATCTCCCTCCTGACCACACACCTCCGTCCAGGTCTCCACAAGCAACTTGTCAGCTTATTTTTGTGACCGAGTTTGCCTGACAGCTCTGAGGGGCAAGCGCTGGTCTCCTTCCTCTCCGTGTCTCTAGTGTCTTCCAAGGACAATGTCCGATAAAAAAGTGTCACTTGTTTCCAAGAAGGTTTCTATCATAGTGGAAATACCGCTTTGGTCATAATATGATCGGTCCCCTTGACAATGGCCCATTGAGATACTGCTCAGAGGTGGGTATTGAATGTTTCTGTCCCTCACTGAACATTTTCTGCATCCTGAGAGCAGGAGGTAGACCATGTACAGGTGCCTTGCGTTGCAGGAAACTCAGGCTCAGAGCCCAACTCGGTGCTCAGCTGGGCAAAACTCATGTGATGTCTGGCTTACGTTCTTTCTACTCTTTCTCTCACATCTTCTTTTTAAGTTCCTATTTGAATACTTTCACTCGTATTATTTTTTTCCTAAGTTCCACCCAGGGGCAAATACGGATTTCGTGGGGCCTAAAGCATTTACGAAGGTGGGAGCTCTGTTTGAGAAAAAGAAGATTAACTTTAAAAGATAAAACTAGATGGAGCAGGCTAAGGTCGCCTTATACCAACTGGAGGGCTCTGGGGCCTGAGCGTATGTGACAAACTTAACAGAGGTGACATCAGTGGGTTGGCCGACAGCGAAGTATGGGACAAAGGGGCATCCTGAGGCACGCGGCGCCGGGGCGGCCTAGCAGCGTCTCGGGAAGAGGGGTGGGGAGCCTCTGAGCGCGGCCTCCGCTGTCCCCTTGACGTTAGGGAGGCTGGCCCTGTGGTCGGATGCTTGTGTCAGGCTGTTTCAGCCTGTAATTAGCATTCGGGTCATTTAAATTTCCTGGTCCCGCGCTTGCCAAGCAGCCTTCGGATGATTATCCTGGCTCCTCAAGGAGACTTAATTACAGAGGAGAGAAGACGCTGGTCGTAAGGACCCGGCTGTTCTGAGCACCCAAACAGCTACCTGCTGCCGTGGTTGCGTAAACTGGCCTGTGGACACAACCTGTCTCCCCACATGGTTGCTGTCTTCAAAGGGAGAATCTGCTGATCACACTGGGTCGGGTCCCAGTGAAATTATAATGACATCGGCCGCCAACTTCATCACGTGCTGACTGTGTACCTGCCACTGTCCCACGTACCTGACACGTAGGAATTTGTTCCATTTTATGACAACGCTATGAGGTCAATGCTCAGGTTCATTTCACGGGTTGGGGAAACTCAAACACGGAGAGCTTGCCCGAGATCATCTCAGTCATTTGGGAAAGGAACTAGGATTTGAATTCAGTGGTGCTACCTGATACTCTGCTGCGGTTGGTGGTGTAATATTATATACGTTCACTGTATTACCCTTTAAAATGCTATAGATTTTGACTCCAAATCATCTCTGGCCCTGTGAGCTTCAGATAAGAGACTGTGGGCTGGTGGCTGCACATGAATAACTTGGTTTCCTGGTTTCACTGATTGGACCTGCGGTTTGGTTCACACGCCTAAGGCTCTGCAAGGAAGGTCCCCGTTTATTGGGCCGACAGGTCCTGTGCCTGAAAGGTTGGTGGTCTAGTGACCGAGGCCGTGACTGACACTTGGGGAGGTCTGTGAAAACCAGCCAGTCCGTGTGTCGTCTCTAGATGGCTGGATGGGCCACGAGCACCCGTGAGAACAAAGTGAGTCCTCCCATCGTATTTCCTCCAAGATCTCAGTGGGTCTCCTCCCGCAGGCCCTCATGTTAGAGCGATGAGCAGCGAGGGCCACGTTTACCAGGGGACACAGGAGAGTCAACGGGAGGGCAACGTACCCACATGGACGTGACAGGATTCTTTAGGCCCACGTATTCGGTCACCAAGTAATTAATTCGGTAAACACTTATAAAGGCGAAGAATAATATATAGTCCCATTCTTTTCTTTCTTTTTTTAAAATATATCTTTATTGATCTCAGAGAGAGGAAAGGAGAAGGAAAGAGCGAGATAGAAACGTCAATGATGAGAGAGTCATTGATCGACTGCCTCCTGCAGGCCCCCAACTGGGGATCGAGCCCACAACTCGGGCATGTGTCCTGACCGGGAATCGAACCCCGATCGCCTGGATCCTAGGTTGATGCTCAACTGCTGAGCCAGGCCCGGCCGGGCTATAGTCCCATTCTTAAATCGCTAACATTTCAGCTCCCGAAGTCAAACAGACCTGAGTTTAAATCCTGCTCTGTCATGCACTTGCGGTGGGACCTTAGGGCAACTCATTAAGCTCTATGTGCTTGTGTCTCGTTATTTGTAAAATGGGGAAGAAATAGTAAGGATTTAATGCAGCAAAGCACTTCACGAAGTATAAAAGCCTATGGCAAGCTTAATCAATGGTAACTATTATTATCATCATCATTATTATTAGAATTTTGGTCATAGATAACCGATTGTAAGTGTACATACATCGCCAAGAATCCAGAGAGAAAAGAGCGATGGATTCTGCATGGGGGAACCTAGGCGGGCTGCCCTGAGGAGCTGACTTTGAGGAGCAGCCTTGAAAACGAGCAGAATTTTAAACGAGAAGAGAAAGGAATCAATATCTAGCATCTTGACCCCAGGGTAGGATGGTGGAAGTCACTGATGTCACCCGAGAAGCAAGATGTAGTCAAGACCTGGCTGGGTTCAGACCCTGCATCTGACCCCAACTAGCTATAAACCTCAAAGGTTCCTTCCCCTCTGGGGTCTTCAGATCCCACGTCAATAGCATGAAACAGCAGCATCTTCCTTAAAGCCTGCTGCGAAGTAACCGACGCACTTCGGGCACTTTGGAAACTGTCTGCATCCTGACACACACATGTCCGCCGGGGACAAACAAGCTGATCAGTGCAAATGAAACACCAGAGAAAAGAACAGAACCACCGTCAACCTACTTTCCCTCCCTCGGAGGAGCCCTGGCTGCTGCGCCGCATTTCAAGTTGGGTTTCTGAACAGACAAAGCATGCCGATGTCAGGCCAATTTAATTTTCTTTCTTGGAAGAATATTGGACCGTGGAGGTGGAAGGAAAGTGAAAGACTGAAGACAGCTGAACTAGCTGGGCTTTCCGTCCGCCTCCGTGACATTTCCGTCACCTGGCTGAGAAACTGTTTAGAACCACGTGTCCCCCAAAGACTGTTTCATAGGAAGTTATCAGGAGTTCCAGCGACAACAAAGTCTGGGAAACGCTGGGTAAAATAGGTAATATTGTCTCTCCTGGGGTCACAGTTCCTCAAGGTTGATTAGTAAGTTTTCAGCATCTATCTGTGGAAAAATATTGGGTGTTATTCTCCAGGGATCAGAATTTAAAGGGGAGCTACTTAACACTCTTATTCATGAGCCGGACATTGAGAATCAAGAGAATCGTGGCCAAGCATGAGGCTGGACACAGTGGCTATTCACCTGGAAGACAGAAATAACACTCAACGGGCATTCAAGACAGAATTCTATCAGAAATAGCCTGAAGATCAATATGGAAAAGAAGAGAGACATCTTACAGATGAAACATAATTTCTACGTTTTTTTTGTAAAGAAATGAGGAAAAGATTTTGGTGCCCACTATATATGGCTTTAAAGACCAAGAACACACACACTGGGTCTTGAACACAAACACGATGGACACAGATATCATCACAAGAGTGACGACTTCTGCCTCGGCCCAGCCTATTGCAGTGAGAAGCACGGGGAACGGTGATGGGTCTCACGGATCAGGGTGGCTGTATTTTAGGGTGTGGGGCTCTGCACGCATCTCTCCTGGCTCTACACGCTCCCTGTGAAGGAGGCCTTGGAGTTGCCTGAGAACTCAGGACTTCCCAAGCCCTAGGATCCCCAGCAAAGTCCTAGTTTACAGTACCTCTGAGAGGCGGGTTAGTGTCTCTGAAGGGAGATCTTATCATTTCCAATGTGATAAAAGCCTCGTAGTTATTTTGCTAAGAGTGGACAGGAACTGGCTTTTCTATTCAAAAATTATCCTGGCTGCTAGAGATTATGCTCAATCCAGAGGTTATCCAGTACGGGCGTCCTGTCCAAGTCACCGAGGAGTTGAGGTTGAGGGATCAGATTGTAGCCACTTATTTTTTTACTTCTTAGGGTTTATGTTTTTGAATTAGGATATGCCATAATCCTGTGTCCCTCTTAAAGAGCTGACTTGTAATTCACCAAATGGAGTCGTTTGTGAGTGTGTGTGCATGCGTGCACATGGGCTCATGTAGGCACGTGCATAAGAAAAAGCCAATACAAAGTGAGAATCATAACACTAGAAGTCCTGTGCTTGACTTAAATTTCCACACTAAAAGATCAGGGGATTTCCTGGGCAAGCAACCAGGTAAGAGACATGAAAATCTTATCACGCGAAAAAGGGAGCTAATGATGGTAACCTGGACAAAAAAAGAAACTGGGGGTCAATATAGCTCTTTATCCAAAAAGGGAAAAAATGGTCGGAAATGAAGAGACACTCTATTGATGTTAAGAAATACGTTTTATAACAATGAAGATTGTCCTTCAATAAGGGACAAGTCTGCCTATGAAAAGAATCCTAAAGATAAACTTATTTTTAAAAACTTATTTTGTGACAGGTATTATGACAAACACATCATATGCATTAGCTTAGTCAGTTCTCTCAAAATGTCCAGGAGGCAAGAACTGCTAGTATCCTCACATGACAGATGAGGAAACCGAGTGCTGGAGAGGTCAGTTCACTTTTCAAGGTCACACAGCTAGTGAATGGATCTCGGAGCCTGTGTGCGAAACTACTACATTGCTTTCTTTCATCCTTGGGTGTTTTAAAGCACAGTCTGATATGGGAGAGATTTAGTGTAAGGAGCTGGTTCCATTGTAAGACTTTTCCATTGCAAGACCGGACCGTCAAAGGTCATCTCCACAATCTTTCCTCTCATTTCTGCCATATTGAGAATTGAAACATGGACTCAAACCTCCTTGGCCACTGTGCCCACCTGTCACCTTCCTATTTTAACAGAGGTGGGGAAAAGTCTAACAGTCTCAAGGACAGAACACCTAGGAGGTGGATGGACAATGGAATCCACGAGGAAGACTTAAGGAGGTCGAGTTCCTTTGGCCAGGGAGTGAACTGGTGGTGTCCTGCAATAATTTAAAATTAGGGGTAGGCAAGTCACTCCCACGGGGAATGTTAGAAGGAATTCATTCCAACGAGAAAGCGTGGCTGGCGCAAGAAGGTTTTCCCAGGGCAAAATGTCTGTGAAGCCCAGCTAGGGGCAGAAGAACAGGGCCTTCAACAGCCGTGTGCCCAGCTGCCCGTCTGGTGGCCTGGACAAGCTGGCCATCCCCGAGGACCAGCCGGGACGCCAGCCCGCGCTGGTGAGCTTCATTTTCTTCCATCCTGTCTCACAGAAGAAGAGGCAGACGCTGAAAATGAAATCGGGGCCATTTTCACTGTGGGAAACTTTTAAACTCAATTTGACGACTGTGGAGATAGGGGTTCTTAGCCGGCCACGGCGCAGCGCCACAACCTTAGGAGATTCCCTCGCAATTCANCTTAGATAGCCGGCCACGGCGCAGCGCCACAGCCTTAGGAGATTCCCTCGCAATTCGTGAGCTGTGGCCCGAGACAACTGAGGGAGGCCCAGAGAGTCTCCGTTAATAAAATCTCCTTGAAAAATCAACACTTCTGCTCAGCAGAGCTCTATGTGTTAATTTAAGGAGCTAGATAGTCTGTTTTGTTCTTGAACACAGATAGAAACGGAACCCCCTTGCACTAAGGGGTTTTTCTCTCTGCTTCATGGAAATGTTACCGTAATTTCGTGCTCTCACACTGCACGGCTTGTTACTTGGTTCATGGCTCCTACATTGAACTTGATAAGGTCCTGGGGCCTGTGAGACTGGTTTTGGGGTTTTGGCTTCTCCCAGCTGCTGCTCTGAAGCTCCTGATGACGCTCCCTGCCTTGCACGGAGCTGGTGGCTTTGCCAGTTTTCGTGCTCTTTCCGTTTCCTCTCACGCGGGGCATGCATCTTCCACCTCACCCTTCTCTGCTTTTGAAAGAGCGCAACTCCTGGGCTTTTGCAAGTGCTAATCGGTCCATCCATGGAACTGGGTAAATTATCTGGAAGCAAGGGCTTCTCTCCTTGAGTGAGCCACAGCGTGGTTTCAGGGGGGCAGACATGAGCGGCAATGGGCACCCCTCATGACATTGGGGTCTCACATGGACACAAACATTTCTCCAGTGTGGCCCCCACACGCCTACAGTCAGGCCCTTTATCTAATGGACGCCTCTGCAACAGAATCCACGCCGGCTGACATCTCAACCGCTGGGGTTTGGGAAAAACCAATTATTTCACTGGACAACATTAGGCTGTGGCTCAAATCGGAGAGGGAAGCGTTTCTAATCAAAGCATCTCTCAGCTTTCCCAGCGTGAGCAATGGGATTGTAAACACTTGGAGGCTTCCCGGAAGTTGTTTATGGCTCAAGCGGAGCTCGAGCTGGGAGTTCCGAACGCATTTGTTATTTTAATAGGACACTCATTTGGGGGAGGAGAGAAAGCACCTGTTTCATCACTTAGAGGCATTCTCCTGNGGGGAGGAGAGAAAGCACCTGTTTCATCACTTAGAGGAATTCTCCTGTGATTTCCATCATTCCCCAGCCCACCTGATGTGAATATTGGAAGACTGACTCTAACAGGTGATCCGAGCGCGAACACACGCTTAAAGATGGTAAAACAGGGACTAGAGGCCTCAGTGGCATCCTGGAGAGAAATGAACGGGACCATTGGCAAGAGGAGTCAAAGCACAAGTGAGAATGAGAGGAACCGGCAGCCGGCCCATCGGTTCATCGCGCACGAAACGGGGGTCGGGGCGAGGTTACTCACAGGTGTTCGCAGTGCCTTTGGGGATGGGCAGGTACGAGCCTGGGCTCCACGGGCGGCCCTGATAATTCTTCTTGCATTTCCCACAGTCCGGGCCCGTCGTGTTGTGTTCACACTCGCAGGTCAGCCGGCTGTTGTCATATACACACACGGTGGCGTGCAGGTTACATTTGCACCTGGGCAGAGGAGAGACAAGAGTTCAGCGTCAGTCGGGCTGGCCTCAGGGACACTGAGGCTTCGCCCGTCTCCGCGGGTTGAGGCTCTCACAGGGCTACCCGGAGGCTCCAGGTAAATGAGGATTTGCAGCGACGCCCTCACACTCTCTCCAACGGGCGCCCTTGGGGTGGGGGGTCCTGCCTGGCCTCACCGCCCACGCCGAGGAACCCTAATCCCAGCGGGCCGGTTCCCTGGGGTCCTGGGGCTCCCCTAAGACAATCGTGCTCTGAAGTCAAGGGTTTCCTGTCAGGTATCCAAGCTACAGCCACTCCTGAGAGGTTTTCCTGTAATGTCATCAAATCGATGACAATTTTGTGTGGGTTGGAAGATCATGATCTGTTCTGTTCTCCCTGAAACCAGAGGACAGTTCTTATTTGTTTAAAAAGAAAGAAAGATAACCATGAAGACAGCTGGCTATTCTGATTTATTTGACAGGCCCCCAAGAGGTTATAATCAGCTGTTCTCATTCCTAAAACGACACCTCCCATCGGAAGTGTTTTCCCACCGAGGCCTCTAACCAGCCTGAGCGTCAGTCCTCAGATTCCCCACTCACGGCCAACACGCTCATCACAAAGGAGCCTCCGAAACGGGTCACAGGGCTCAGGTAAGAGATGCTTATGCTTCCTAGAAAATCAAAACCTACATGTGGCCGGGGTTTGAGGTCCTTAGCCAAGGCCTCGCCTTTGGCGCCCGAGCATAAAGCTGTGATATAGGAGAGGCAACAATGGAATGTGCAATTGCCACAGAAATATATTCCTGTATCCAAAGTCTTCCACTGCAAAACTGCAAAGGCCAACTTGATATCTGTTGAGGTAGCAGGTTATATAAATTCTAACACTCCAGGCACGGGCCTCATTGTCTGGGGAAGTAAGACCTAGGTTGAAAAAATGACCATGACCCCGGGGTCAGAGCGGCGGTGGTGGGAAGGGGTGTGTCACTCAAAGGAGAGAACCAGGACACCCCAGCGGGGGGGTCAAGGACCAAGATCTGTCACAGTCAGAACCGAAACATGTTCCTGTGTGTGTGTGTGTGTGTGTGTGTGTGTGTGCACATTTCTAAGCTAGTCAGGCCTCCTCCAGGATCTAGGATGAAAATATAGAAAGGGAGCCAAGTCTCACAGAGACAAAGAAATATGGTAGTGTTTTACATTTTTGTCTCTTGCGGCAGATGTCGGGAATCGGGGAAAGTAACAATACTCCTCCCTAGGTAGGAAAATAAGATTCTTTAACAATGGATGTTGGCTTCCCTGTCTGTGCAGTAGCATCTGAGTTTCTCCCTGGTGCACCGATGAGCTGTTTGGACACCGACCCACACCTACGGCGAGGAAGCAAAGGGATGGCCAAGCCACTGCTGAGAGGGGCTGGGCTCTCTTCTCACTAAACGGCGCGGGCACCCACTCACGCCTCCCTGAGTGCCGTCCGGCCTTAGCTTCCTCTGGGGTCTACTACAGTTTGCGATACTTGAGGCTACCCCCTGCCCTCTGGGTCATTATAAACGGCAATAAGCTGAAAGGCTACTATTTCAACGATACCCATTCAACTTAAGACTCATGAACAGAACCTTCAAAAATTAACATTAGTACAATCTTTTAAAAAGAGAAGAATCATTCAGTGAAGTGAAAGAGTGTTTAATTGTGAGCTGGGTCTTGTAATAATCCTCTATGTGCAAGGAGTTACTTGAGCTAAGCTCCTCATTAAAGGGTCTTTCTCCTTCCAGCATCAGTGCCTTTATTTATGGGTGTGTTTATATATATATATGGAAGATGTTAGAAACCTAAGTGAGAGGAGCACCAGTGTTTACTGACTTAACACCCTCTCTGGTGTTAAAAATTCCGAATGAGGAAATGAACAGTGGGACCCCCCCCCAAGAAAAACCAGGTTGGTTTCATGTGCGAAGNACTGACTTAACACCCTCTCTGGTGTTAAAAATTCCGAATGAGGAAATGAACAGTGGGACCCCCCCCCCAAGAAAAACCGGGTTGGTTTCATGTGCGAAAACCGAGAACCTAAGTAGCCACTGCAAGTTGGATGATATATCCTGTAACTGTCAATACTTTCATACTTATAGTCACTCTCTGAGTTACAGGCAATTTCCATTCTAAAGACTTTTTATTCGCTGAGAAAATATTCTCTGAGTAACAAAAGGAGGCAAGAGAAAAACAGATGAATGTTTAGTGGCTCATCTCCACCTGTCCACAAGCTCATTAATCATTCAAGTCTCAACTCACTTCATGACTCTCCCCGATCTCTCTCCTGCCCACTGGGGACACCCTCACCTCCACCCCTCTGATCTCCTTCAATGCTTCTGTGTGTTTGATTTGGTTGATTGCTACTTAAGACTCTTTGTGCTTTTAAAATTTTGACTCACGGGCATAAATCTCTCCCATCTTGAGGGGTGTGTGTGTGTGTAAATAGCCACTTTGTTCCCTAGTCTTCTTGTCCATTTACCTCTTTAACACTCTCCTCTCCCTTCTTGAGTTTCCTACACCTGCCATCTCTGTTTTCTCACCTCCCACTCACTCGCACTTCCCGACTAACGACAGCTTCTCTTGCCAAGATTATCCACAGCCCTGGCTGGGTGTCTCGGTTGGAGCTTTGTCCTGTACGCCAAAGGTTGCAGGTTCAATCCCCAGTCAGGGCATGCATGGGAGGCAACCGATCGATGTTTCTCTCACGCATAGATGTTTCTCTCTCTCTCACCTCCTCTTTCTAAAAACCAATTAAACAACAACAACAACATATCCTACGGTGAGGATTTAAAAAAAAGGTCACCCATAGCCTCCTTGTTGAAAACCCAATGGGGATTTTCCCTGCCTTAGTTGACCACGGGGCATCCGACTCTGTGGACCACTCCCTTTCCCCTGGTGCTCTCTCCCTGCTGGATTCTTGCTTATTTCCAGAGCCCTTGTCTTCTGTGTGTTCCCTTCACATGCTCTTGTTAGGGTTCTGGCCCAGCGTGTCAGCCCAAGTGGCTCTCCTTGGGCCCCCTTAGCCAGGTTGTCCCTTCAGTTTCCTCTGTGGTCCTTCACTGCCTTTGAGTTACAGGCAACTGAAAGCAAACTTGCATTATTTTTTGTTTTCAGAAACGAACAGACATATGCAGAATAAGCTCACACATTTGAAAACAGTTCAGGAGATCCTGAGGTTCTGCGTTGCCCACAGAGATCCAGGGAACGCCCTCCCTCCACTATCCCCGGGTGAGGATTCTCTGATCAGCCCGTTGCTAAGTCCCGGGTCTCCGGGGTGGCTCCCTCCTGGGCAGCTCAGGCTCAACACAGCCCGACCCGAATGCTCTGGCTTCCCTCTCCCACTCTTCTTCCCCCTTGGTAACTCGCACCACCTTCCAATCAGTTGGTCAAGAGTGACTCCTGTCCCTTTCCTACATCTGACTTGCCATCTCTCGGCCTCTCACCCGGTTCTGAGATCCTCCTTCTCGACAGCTCTCAGCTCTGGCAATGCCCTTCCCTGGCTGAGATCAGCAGCGTCACCTCGGGTCCGGTTTAGCACAACAGCTTCGAAACAGAACCTCCTGCTCCAGTCACGCTCGTCTCTGCCCCAACCTCAGCACCACAGTCCAAACAATCGCTTACACACAGATATCTGGGTCGCCCTGCCTTAGACCCATAGAAAGATCTCCCAGTATTCTCAGAGCAGAGCTCACGCTCTGTACCGTGGTCTCCACGTTCCTGAGAAGCCTCGGTCTCCTCCCGCCCGAACGCCTTGCCCACGCACTGCTCCACCGGGCAAGGCCAGCGGTGACAGCCCACGCGCTCTCTGCTGCAGCCCCGAGCCCTGTCCTAGCTGCTTCTCTTCCGTGACCGTCACTGGGCTGTGAGCTCCCGGGAGCACAGTCCCGCCGGCCTCGTTTATTGAACCGTCCCTAGCATGTGTCAAGGTGCTTGGCACACAGTAAGTACTCAGAAAATATCCGACGCATGAAGAGTTGGGCAGAGCGTTGCCCGGGCACCGCTGGAAACGACAACTCCAGCAGCCAGTAGGCGGGGCTGGCTCGGCTCCGGGCTGTGTCCTCGGTCACCGTGCCGACCGCTGTCCAGGCCGAGCATGTCCATGCAGCACCGAGGCACCCTGGCGTCCCCGAATTTGGAAAGGACTCCCTTTCGTTTTCTACAGCTCGGTCCGTTCCCATCAGCCTTTCCAACCGGACGCTAAAATCCCTCATGTAGAGCCCCTGCCAGAGCGGCCTGCCTCCACTGGGGAAATGGGTTTGGCAAGGCTGGGAGATTGCTCTCAATTCCTGGGTCACCACCTCCAGCCCTGTGATTTCGCAGACACCCACTCGCCTCTGACAGATTCATTATCCATTTCCATGGCCACCGGCTCCCACGTCTACCGTCACCTTCGGCGGGGGAGGGACGCCACAAGGGGGACAACAGACTTGGCCGGCAGCGAGATACATGTCTGGTGCTCTGGGGAGCTGAGCCTGTTCACCCATTCTGTTTACAACACACACAAAAACCTCACACCAAGACCTGCAGACAGAACTCACTGGCTTGCTTGTACCCTGAAGATCCACTTGTGTGTAAGCAACAAGGGGCACACACGTCCAACAAGGACATCGCTGAGACGGACCTAAAGGGAGCGCTCACCTGCGATGCTAACGGTGGGCCGCGGTGTGTCCTGCTGTCAATCAGGCCCACGCTTCCTGTGTCTCAGTGACCAGCTGCCACGAGTCAATTTAATCTCACTTATAAAAAGGCTCCAACATTTAGGTCCCTGCCACCTGCCAGTAGGTATGAAAAAACCCATACAGTCTGCCTGATTTTTATTTTTTTAAATTACATAATGTAATATATTTATTCTGGGAAGCATGCTACCCACCAGAATTTCCTGTGAGTTACAGGTGTGTATATTTAATCTATTAGTAGCGTTTCTGAGGTGCTGAGACAAAGAAGTCTGACACTGGTTTTTTCCAAAGCAAACTGGAAGGGAAGCCAGGCTCG